GGTGCTTTGTTCCTCTTCAGCTGTTTACATACATTTTTAATGTCCTTTGTTGTTAATCTTATTGACGAGCCGACTATTGAAATTCTATCTTGGTTTTGATTTCTATGTTCTTGAAATCCGACTCTATTCTTTACCAAAACTTTTATCAATTTTCAGCTTTCTGTGCTTCTGATTCCTCCTAGATAAGTATGTATTTATTCGTTGGCAGTTTCTTTCCCAAGACTTGTTCTTCTTCTTGGAGATTTTCCTTCGTACTTCTGCTTGTTTTTTCTTTATATTTTATTTTGTCTTTAATAATATGGAGCTTAAATGTTTTTAGTATAGTTGTCTTTTACAGTTTATTTCTTCCTCTATTTCCTTATCCCACCAGTATGGTTTGTTTACCTTGGGTTTTATGTAGTATCCCATTACTTCAAATGCTGCTTTGTATAAACAGTTTTTTATATGTTCAAATAACTGGTCGATATTCTTAGGGGCGGGAATTTGTAGTTTCTCATCCAATCTATTTTTGAATAAGTCTTGGGTACTTTCTTCATCTAGGCTTCTGATGTTGTATCTTCGTTCCTGTATCTTTTCTGTCTTGTTTATGTCTATATGTGTTTCTCTCTGTTGTCTTCGGATTGGGAAGTGTATTATTAAACGTAATAAATAATGATCGCTACCGCATGTTGCGCTTCTCTGAACTCTTACATCTTATACTCTCAGTCGAGTTTTTTGTTTTGTTACAATATAATCGATTATTGATTTTATGTTTCGTGTTTCCTGAATCCATGTATCCATTTAAGATTCTGAGTTGATTCTGGTTGCATAAATCTATGAATCTTTCACCATTGTTGTTCGTGGTGTCTTCTCCGTATTTTCCTATGATTTCATCCGCATCTTTTCTTCCTACTCTACTGTTAATATCCCCCATTAATATTATTTCCCGCGATTGACTTATTTTCGATATTTCTTCGTGAAGCTGTTCAAAAAATGCGTCTTTTACGTTGGCTAGTGCGTCGTTATTTATTGCGTATACGTCCATAATTGTTAGTTTATATCCGTGAAGATACATATTTACTTTAATTAATCTTTCACTTATGGCTTCCCAAGTTATTATGAACTTTCTTAGTCTTCTGTGAATCATTAAAGAAATTCCCTGTTGAGCTCTACATTCTTTTGGTACTCCACTATAGAAATGCTCATATTTTCCTAGATTTTCGGAGCCGGTTCTCTTCTTTTTTGTTTCGGTAATGACTGTTATGTCTATTTTTAGTTTTGTTAATTCATGTAAGATTTCATTGAGTTTTTCTGGTATACCTTGAACGTTCCATGTACCAAAAAATCGTATCCTTTTTCGAAGCTTATGTTTTTTTGGCTTAAGTTTCTGCTTCTCATATGTCTACTCAATCCAAATAACATTTGTTTGGTAGGATTATTCTTCGCTTGATTTCTTCCGTCATGACGTTCTCCTTGGTGATCAGGTAGCCTAAGTATGTGAATTTGTCCACCACTTTAAAGGTAGAGTTATCAACAGTGAATTGGTGGCCGATGTTTCTGGCTCTATTGTTGGGTGTTAATGCCATTATCTTAGTTTTCTCCTCATTTACTTGCAGGCCCATTTTTTTTTGAGGCATTTGACCAGGTGTTATACATTTCTTCTAGTTTGCGTGTTGTGCGGACAACTAGGTCAACATCATCTGCTTATGCCAAAATTTGGGATGATTTATTAAAAATGTTACCTCTGTTGTCTATTTGGGCATCCCTGACCGCCTTTTCCAGAGCTATGTTTGAAAAGGAGACACACCAGCGCATCTCCCTGTCGCAGCCCAACATGCGTTTCAAATGCCTGTGATTGTTCGCCCTGTATTTCGACTTTGCAAACAACTTTACGCATTGTAGCCTTAACCAATCTTATCAATTTATCGGGGATGTGAAATTCATCCATGGCTTCATACAATTTATTTCTTAGGACACTATCATAGGCCGATTTAAAATCTACGAAAATATGGTATGTGTCGATATTGAATTCATTGGTTTTTCCAGTATTTGCCTTAGCACAAAAATCTGGTCTGTTGTTGATCGACCAGGCCTAAAACCACTTTGATATTCGCCAAGAAGCTCCTCTGAATATGCACTCGGGCGACTATATAAAATACTCGAAAATATTTTGTATACTGTATTAAGGAGGGTTATTCCCTATAGTTTCTACATTCCAATTGATCACCCTTTTTGTGTAGCGGGCAAACGATCCCAATACACCACTCTTCCGGGATTTGTTCCTCATTCCAGGCTCTCAGTATGATATTATATATATATGGTTAGTCAGAGTAGCACCTCCACATTTAATAAGTTCCGCGGGTATACCATCACTTTCTGGAGGTTTATTATTTTTTAGGTGTTTTATTGCATCCTGCACTTCTTGAATTGATGGAGGCTTTAATCGTGTATAGTTGCTTGCTCCTGGGGGTGGTTGATTTGGATCTTCTACTTAGATAGTAAGTAGTTCTTTATAGTGTTCCACCCACCTTTTTAATACTTCTTCTTTTGTATTGAGTATATGCCCCTCCTTATCCTTACATAGTCCGATCTTTGGTTTAAATTCTTTTCTTGCATTATTCAGATTTTTATAGAATTTTCTTGTTTGATTTTCCTTTTTTATTGCCTCAAGTTTTTCCTCAAGTTCCAAAAATACTTATGATTTAAATCAAATTATTAAAGATAAGTACATACAATTTATTAAACAGTGATATTAGATTATATTTTTGGCATTATTGTACTACATTTTAATACATATCACATACATATATTGTCTGTATGTGAAACCAACATACGTATTACAGATTACAGTATTAATAAATATTAATTACAAAAATTGTTTTAACTTTAAAACCTTTATTATTTATATTATTATTCTCTTAAACGCCACAAAGTTAAATAGAAGAATATACGAAATGATTTTAATATAGTTAAAAAATAATACATACATACGGGACAGTTTGGAAAACTTAGATTCACAAATTATATTATTCACTTTCATAATCAGATGCACTGTCGTCTTCACTAGAATCATTTAAATCAATCCTTAATTCTTTAGTAATTACATCTATGTGACGTTTACTTTCCAAATACTTATGTTCAACCTTGACAACGTGTTCACACACTTTCTTCCAGTTATCTACAGTTACTCTAGCAAATTCCTGTTCCACCAAAACTTTTGCGTCTTCTAACTTACAATTAAGGTTTTTTTTGCAACTTCATAAATGAGATGAGATATGGCGGAAGTTTTAAAGGAACATGTCCACATTCTTGCAGCACTTTGTCAAATTTATATTGAATATGATCTTGTTTGTGTCTTTTAATGATTTTATACAATTGCAGTTTTAACATTGACGTTACAAATTGCAAATTTTTTCTGTCAACCAAGATATCATATAATTTTTTTTTAGAATTACTGGTGGGTGCTTTATTAATTTGTACATTATGATATGACGCATTATCAGTAACAACAACAAATCCAAGAGGCAAATTGGGGATTAACTGTTCTTTCATCCATTTTTCATAATTTTCTGAATTCATATCATGATGATAATCTCCTGTCTTAGCTCCTAACTTAAAAATCAAAAGGGCATTTTGTATGAAAATCATCTCCCCACCACCATGTACGATAACCAACCTACTTCCTTTTGAAATGTTTTTGAACAATTCTTTTCCACTGTTATCTGTCCAGCTATTTGGAGTAGTGTGTCCTGCATGTACATAGGTTTCTTCAACATATACAATTGACTTACCTATATACAATTGACTTTTCTAGACCTTCAACATTTACAATTGACTTAATTGAACCTTTGCTTCTGTAATATTTAATTTTGTATAAATATTTAATGCGTAGAGCACGAATATCATTCCGTTCAATTAATAAACGTCGATTATCTTTCGTTTTCTTCCATTTAAATCCCAAATCTTTCACAATTCTGTAAAAAGAACTCACACTTCCGGTCCACTCGTACACCTCTTCAAGCGTTTCCTGCAAAAGCTTCAATGATACACGACAACGTTCAGTCTCATGAAAACGATGAATGGTATTTCTAATGAACTGTTTTGTCATACTCCCTCAAGTCTGTTACAATTGCTTTCCTTTTAGCAGGTGTGGTAGCTGGAAATTTTAGTGTATTATTTGACTCTGCGTTTGTTAACGTACTCGATTGTTGAATGATCCTTTCTACTGCACGTAAAGACACTCCAGTAGCTTCACTCGCACGTTATTTAATACTGGTTCGATTATATTCAGGAAATAGCATTTGCATATATTTAAATACATTGTAAACTATTCCTTTGGATTCTGATGTCAGTCTGATCTGTTTACTCGTACTACATTTAACTATCTCAATTCTACAAAATAGTTCTAATACGCGTGGTAGCACCTTTCTTGTTGAGACTCGACAACATAATGAGACTAAATTACGAACTCGTTTGAAATCCAGTGACTAGAAATTCTCGGAAATAATTCTAATCAGTTATTTTTTGTATGTACTTAAGAGTCGTTAAGGAGTAATTAATCATGACTTTATAATTACGGTTTTAAGGTAACTGATATTAAATTAGAAATTTACTTTTACCAAACTTTATAGAGTATCAATTATTAAAGATAATATTATAACAAACAAAAAGTTTGGTATCTATTAAACAATCTGTGTACAATCAAACTGAATTTATTATTTGAATGAGTAATAATTTTGTAATTAGTGCGATTTCAAAGAATTTAATTTGTTTAATATTACAACGGCACTCCATGGGTATGATCATAGATATTCTATTGTCTGCGCGATTAACTATTTCGTGGAAGGGCTCGCCACCCGATTTGAAATAATCTGTACCTTAATTGATTTCTACCGGGAAGTGTTCAAGCGTTATAAATCCCCAACATATACACTACCAAGAAACAAATTACCTAATTCTTGCATGAAGGTGCACATAGTTAACACTGTTATTAATGCTAATCTGATGTATTTTATTTTTAGCATGATCAACATTTTCTTCAAAAAATTTTGCAGAACAAAATCGATAATCTAACAGTTCCTTCAATTTCCGAATTAAACGTGGAATGAACAAAGTTATATTTTTGAATATATATTATGTGTTCCAAATAGAAAGACCAAACAAACAATTTTTTATATATGTTTATATACTTTATACAATATACTATATTTATAAAAAAATAAATTTATAAAATAAATAAAACTATATTAAAAGTCTTTTTTACAGAACACAATTATTTGGCAGAAATTAAAAGAAAATTAAGAGGTTAATAAAAATCTGGATTCAATCCAGGAAACACAATGTACATGTAAAAGAATAGTAGAAATACACATTGATGTGGGTAAAAAGAAACAACTTTTTTAGTTTTCTACGTTTCTAGTAGTTTTTTCTTTGGCGCCATGGTACACCAACGGATAGTAAACGTATAGGAACCAAAACCATATGTAGTAGAAAAAACTAAAATGGAATAGTAATAACTTATATTATCATAGTCCAACATACATTGCTGAACATAGGCCTCTCGCCTTTCAGTTAATCCGATTTTGTACCATCTGAATCTAATTTATAGTCAATATTTTTATGTCATCGGTCCATCTCGTTGGGTATCGACTTCTATTTTGATATGCTTGTATTCGGGGTCTTTATTACAAAATTTATAAATATTTACAAAATATTTTGCTTTTGGCTTTTGACAATGCCACTATTGTTTTTTTTTTTTTCGTCATTGTACTAGTTACCTTTCCTTTCTAACAAGACCTCAAAGTCACGATTCGTCGAGCTGTGCGAGTTTGCGACCAACTTACGTAACAAGAAAGTCGCAAAAATCTGTCGCCTATGCAATGCTTGTTTCCCATCCAAAAAGTGCATAACGTTGTTAAAGAAGTTTTTAGTTTATTTTTTTTATTTTTTTCACAAGAACACAAGACCTCCTTTTGTATTCCCATAATATTTGTGCATCCCCTATACGTTTCACCAGCCACTGTCACTGCTCCCCGTGTGAAGGCTCAAGTAGAATACCTTCACGGCTTCTCCTGCTTGTCGTAAAAGGCGACTGAATGGAGCAGCTGTCCGCATTCCATTACCCAAATTCCTAACCTGTCCCTGTGTGATAGCAAAAACTCTTAACTATCATAATACACCTACCCCTACCCATCATACACGTCCTGATACCCAAACCTATACCCGAGGAGAAAACCTTCACTAATACAAAACCAGTGGAAGAAACCACTGAGAACAAATGGATATGCATAGACAGGTGGCTACGCATCATTCTAATATACCGCCAACCCAACCTCAAGGTGTGACGAATAACTACAAAAGTATTTTTTTTTATACTTGGAATTTAATTTTGTATTATTCCGAACCCGAAATCTTTCGCGGAAAGTAACTGCGTAACAGAAACAAGAAAAAAATCGCACGGAGATAAAGACATAGGAACTGGTGGAAATAAGAATGAAATTAAAATTAATTTAAAAAGAAGTGAAACAGAGAAAGGAATGTCAAAAATTAAGGGATGCATCGATGAGTTAGTGAACCTAACCGAGGTGGTGACAAATACGAAGAATGAGATCAAACAGGGAGCCCAAAGGTACGGCGAAATGGAAAGAAACATTAGAGAGTTAATGTATAGTGCTATAGAGGAGACTGAGAAAAGGAAAAGTATAAGAAGATGCGTAACAACAACGGACGCAAATAAAAATAACTGGGGGCAATGTGTGGGTAATTTAGTGCAAGGTACCCAGACCTCCCCAGAATATACATAGAATATGAAAATGGAGAAATTGGGACTATCTCCCAAATAACATGTATGGTAGAGGAAAATGAAAAATGAAAGGAAAATGAAACAAAGAAAAGTAGAACTAATAGCTGTTAAATTTTTGCAGCAGTCAGGAAGCTTTTCGACCGTATGAAATGAATGAATAGACAAAATACAGGGATATCAGCATTAGGAGTGGAGACATCAAGAAAGTGCTAGAGTGGGTAGCAACAGGAAAGAAGATAACGGCAAAGATATACAACAAAACGTGTAAAGAAAGGCAAATAGTAGCCAAAGAAAAGATAGGGATGGTAATCATCACAAAACCTACAGATAATCCCTGTGCTGAACTTGTAAAAGAGTTAAGATGCTGTATCCTCTGTATGAGATGTCACTGAGAACAAAGCTTGAGGTTACCCAAATGCTGTTTTCTCCCGGCCATTGGCATAAAGGGCAGTGGGACGCCGAAGCTGAACGAGCTGTACCTTTTACCATAGATGAACTCAACGAAGCATTGAGTGTTGCCTAAAGACACGAAAGGCTCCAGGACTCGATAGTATACCACTAGAAGCGGTGAAAAGCATTGGTAGTCTGGAGCCGACGTGGCTTTGGCAACACATGAAGGTACTGCTTTTAAACTCGGCGATTTCTGGCAAATTGGAAGATTTCAAGGTTCGTGCTACTCCCAAAGGGGGAAGACCAGTATCTGTTTCTGTTTGCCTTTTGTCGTTCATAGGTAAATTATACAAGAGGTAAGAGTCAGGGTGGCTGCAACCATTGCGTACGGTTTCAGAAAGAACATTAGCAAGACGGATGCAGTGATGGAAGTCTTCCGGGAGTTGTACGGGGTGGGAGTTAATTAGAGGTGGGCGATCCTTTTGTTGATGTCCGCAATGCTTTACACATTACAAATGAAAAGAGGTAATGAAGGCTTTACTAGAGAGAAGGTAGCCGAGGTACTTGATGAATTTCGTTTCGGACTATCTGTCAGAGAGAAGAATTGTGGTAGAAAAAGGAGTAGTGGTTGCCGTGACGGCTGGAGTTTCGCTGTGGAACCACGCATAGGACGGGATTGTGAGTCAACAATATGGACAGGGAGTAACCGCATTTGCGGACGATCTCGCTATGTCGGTAGTGGCGCAGGACAGGAGGGCGTTATCTTCGGTGCACAGCGTGAGTAGATATTTTATACCATTCCTGGTGCAAAATGTGGTGGGGAAAACCGGTTCCAATCAAGGTCGGTCAAGGTCAACGCACGCAAGTCAGTCACGTAAAGGTCGTGTTAAGGTCAAGGTCACGTGAATGACATTAAAGGTAATGTCATGATCTAGTTCAAAGTCACGATGACAATCAATGTTGGGATAGGTTATTAGTATAATAAAAATTCTTAATAAAAAAATAATACCTTCTTAATTATTTATTACAGTGTTATACATGTTTTTTAAATTTTCAAGCGCAGACTTACACAAATGACAACTGGATTGCACCGGTGCTGTACCTTCAAGCTCTGATCTCCACTCGGGACGATTAAAATGTACAAAACATGGCAGATGAGTCTGAACTTCAAAATCTTGAACTGCTTTTGTGGGTAATTTATACCAAGATCGAAGTAATTCCACCGGTTCCACACATTTTCTAAAGTATGGTAGGGTAAAGTTTTCTAATTCTGCTTTAGTAAACTTGTACAAAGGTTTTCGCGGATGTTGAACCATTAATTTAGCTTTGTGACAACACTCCATTGCCATTAACCTGTTAATCTTCTTAAACATCAAATGTACTTACTTTTTATTTATGTAAATCAAGGTCACCTCTACGCAGCAACTAAGGCATGCGCAGTGTTTAAAATGTAAACTACATAAATTGAGGATTGTAAAAGTGATCTTTAGTAACATTTAGTTCGTCGTAATATAAGTTAAACAGTAAATAATTTTCAGTAGATTCGTAAAATTTTCTTCGTCGTGAGATCAGAAGTTTAATAAATATTTTTCAATCAATATTGTTGCTAACATTATTAATTTTAGAATTAGTAATGGATGCGTGTTTAGATGGTACAAAAACTCTCAACGTAGCTGAAGCTGTCCGAAATTTGCAATGGGTTTTTAATGAAAAGGCGTACGATTTTGAATACGAAGTCGAACGAGCTACCATAAGAATAAGAAGATATACGGTAGAAGAGTGTAATGACAAATCAGCAATATATCATACGGGAGCCAGAATCTGCGAAGAGTATTTATCTGATGTATCAATCAATCAAAAAATCAAAAATCTAGGACTGACTGATTTCTTACATCAACTCAAAGATTGTTTCTACCCAAACATTGTTTTGAAGATGAGGGGTAGATACTGTAAATACATGTAAATACAATAAATAATATATTTTATTTTGTAGTTTTCATTTCAACACAACATCGTTTAAACAAGAATTGGAGGAATTTATGAAAAAAATTAAAGAACTAAAAGAAAAAATAAAACAACTCGAAGACAAGCAAATAATGTTTAAGTCATTGTTTGAATAAATGATTTTAGTACTAATTGGTTGTTTGTTTAACAATATTTATAACTAAGAAATAAAACAAAAATAATGTAATATATATTTTTATTTTTACATTAAAAAAGTATTATACAACCAAAATACATTAGATAAAGCACAAATACATTTTTTACTATCATGATAAAAACAAGCAAATGATGGTTGTTCATCCAATTCGTATAAAGGAACAGCAATGTATTTTTTATATTTTATTTTTTTATTTTAATGGATCCACTGTAAGGTTAATAATGGTTTTTGATAAAACCTTCACATTCTTTTGTCAAATAAAAATTTATTTGATTTGTCATTTACCTAGCGTATTTTTTTAACTGCATTGAGTTCGTTTAACTTTGACGTCAATGTTCTAAATGATTTTTGGGTACAAACTTGAACCTTTAATAAAAATTTAAACAGTTCTTATCCTATTATAATTTTCTAATTGTATTGAGTGCATTTCACTTTGATGTCAATGCCCTAAATGATTTTTGAATCTTTTACATTCTTCTAACTTTTGCAATGAGTTCATTTAACTTTGATGTCAATGTTCTAACTAAATTTTTTACCCAACTAAGGGTAAATAAGGTATTCACATATAGTTTTCTGATTGCATGGAGTTCATTTAACTTGAAGTCAACGTTTTGAAGTTGTAATTTTTATTTTGACTAAAGTTTGTTGCACTTTGCAGCAACGTTAATCTAAACCTAAGTTTTACTATAAAGTTTGTTGCTCTTTGCCGTTAATAATTTTTCTTTAAGCTAAAGTTCATTTCTCTTTTGCAATCAATGTTTACTCAACTTAATTTTTATTCTTGTTAAAAGTTTCTAGA